GGGAATTGGGAAACAGCCCTGGTTCTGTCTTCCAGGTAAGGTGGGAAATAGAAGAAGGCTGACTTGTCCGTGTTGTTCCTGCCTGGAAACGAAAGTACTGCAGGAGTAATGAGGCTGAGGGAAGATTATATAGCATTCTTCTTTGTTTCACGCCTAAGTAACTCAGTGGGGGCTTGCTGGCAAAACAAACAAAAGTTGCTCAACTGACAGAAGTTGTACTGCTAATAGAGCCAGCTCTCTAGGAAGGAATTTAAGTTTATATGTTCTTAATAATGAAATACAGAATTCTCTATTGTAAGGTCTTGTACAGTTGACTCTGCCTTTGGTGGCAATTGACATGGGTAGTCTGGCATGGACAATTGTCACTCCTTGAATTAATGATTAAGATGACGAATGTCAGCGCATCTCTTAGTCACTGCCATGGAGTGGCATCTTTGCTGAACCAGTTTTAGAACTCTGGATGAATATCCCTCGGCTCTTCAGTGTTGACTATCTCATAATGAGCCTGGACATGTAACTGTAACATCACTCCAGAAAAAAATCAGCATGTCCTCTATTGCTCTTAATAAACAGATTAAACCTCTGCAGGTAGTCTTTGTCTGTCCCTGTGATGTAAAAATTCCACTGTGGCTAATTTCAGGCAGCTAGTGTGATACCCTAGTACCCACAAGTTTGGAATAGATGTTGGCTGTCTCAATTACATCATTTGACTACTAAACTCGCAATGGAGCATAGGTAATAGCAGAATAGCTAATCCACATTGTTCAAGGGTCGGAGATCTGCAAATCTGCCTACTCTGAAGTTTTAAATTTTGTATTGCATTCATTTGTTTATTGGATGTGGTGTGCATACCAGAGTATGCCCATGTAGATCAAAGGACAACTTACAGGGGTCAGTAGATTGTCTCCTTCCACCATATGGGTTCTGGGAATTAAACTTGGGTTGTGAGGCTCAGTTGGTGGTAGGCACCTTTACCCCATGCATCATCTTGCCAGCCCTCACTGCATTTTTCTGTTACATTTTGAGACTGGGTCTCACTGTAGCCTCAGACTTGTCTGGAATCTGCAGGCTTCCTACTCCATTCTCATACATGCTGGATTAACACGTAACTGTGGCCGCACCCTGCTGCACTATCTCCTTTCGATCATCTATAGACACGGGGAGTATACAATTCTGAATTGTGAAGGCACCTGTTGCCAATGAGTAACAAGTCAGTGCCTTGTTGACAGCCATTTTGCTGTCACAAATAGCATCCAAACATAATGCTCAAGTCCCATGTAGAGTTCTTAAGCATGAGAGGGCTGCAATGTGCCTAGCACAAGCAATACATGTGCTAAAGAGCCTTTGCTCAGGTCTGGGCTACACTGATAGCTAAGTTAATGAGTCAGTGCCAGGGATGTAGCTCAACTAATTGTGTTTGCCTAACATACATGGGCCCTAGACTCATCCCCAGCACTGATATAAACTGAGTGTGCTGGTCCATGAAGGTAATCCCAGCATTCAGGAGGTAGGTGCAAGAGGATTGGAAGGAAAGAAGGAGGGAGAAAGAGGGAAGGAAGAATGGAGGGAGGAAGAGAACAAGAAAAAAAGGGAAGACAGAGAGAACCAATGAAAAGGAGAAAGACAAACAATAGGAAGTGCATAAGGTGTCATTAAGCAGAAACACACAAAACAGTTCTAACCAGAGGCATGCAGTGACCCATCCATAAGAACTGGCCATAGGAAAAGATTTGGAATGAGTTTTAAGTATGAATGATGTTTATTTTAATATGATTGAACTGTAGACTTGCAACATTAACTCTTATAATATCCGTGCCTGACAGCTAACCTGCAAAGTCAGAGAAATTTTAAGTGTCTCTTAACTCAATGAATGGAGACAGAAAGCTGTAGGGGTGATATTTAGAAAATGGCGCTCTGTCCAGCTTGTTCCTGGGCAGCCGCCATGTCCCCGCTGATCTTCGGCTCTAACCAGGGCTCTAACCAGGGCTCCAGCTAGCTAGATGTGCAGGCCCTGGCACCCACGAGATGCCAGTGTGGGGGATTGGCAGAGCCACAAAGCGCGGCTGAACCGCAGACAATATCTGCCATTCTCAAAGTACCTGGTAGAAATGAGACTCTTAAAGCTTAATGATTATCTAAAGGATTTATATATTTAGAAATGCTCAATCAACAAGATGCCCACACAATTAGAGTTCCAATATCTAACCTTTTGATAGAAGTTGCTACCCAGGACAGCTTTCGACTCATCCACGGTTCTCCATGGCTGATAGCCTCCTTCTTCTCCTCCCCCTCCTCTCTTTCTCCCCTCCCCTTCCTCTCTTCTTCTCCCAGCTCTACCTTCTTATCTACTGCCTAATCACCAAGCTCCACTGCAAATACAATGTACAGAATAAATATCCTGCTACAGAAAGCAATAAATGAACAACAGTGTCCCTCCCCCAATATGTGCCCTCTTGCTTTTGGGGTTATTTTTTAGTTATTTGCATAGTTTGTATGTGTATATATAA